CCTCAAAGCGGCGGTCATAGTAATCGTAGTCCTAGAGTTGAACAAAGTGTTATTGTAAATTTTAAGGTGCGACATTTCGGATGAAAATGAATTGTGTAATTTGATATTTAAAGGGTATTCGCGGCGAGTCGATTTATAGAATAACTGCTTAAAAACCCTGGTAATTAATTTAAAATTAAAATATTCAATTTGTAAACTATTAAATTACACATCTCTTAAGATCATTATGAACCGTTCATATTTAAGCAGTTAAATCTTTTAGCCGACCTGTCGAGAGTAGCCATATTTGTCTGCATTTACCCTAAAACCGTCCATTATGCGATCACGCAGGAATGGCGGTGGTGGAGGTGGCGGCGGATACGGATCACGACTGTACATGCGATCTCTGTAGCCGGCGCTCAGTGGCGGTGGAGGCTCGCGTCCACCAGTGCCTGTCCAACGCGGACACTCTTTCGACCAATGACCGGAACGGCCGCAACGATAACACTGCTCCGGATCGCCCATGCCCGGTTTGGGGCGTACACGACTAGTAGACACCTGCACCTTCAGCGGCTGGCCATCAACAACGCGACCGTTCAACTCCTTGATAGCATCCTGCACATCACCGACACAATCCAAATGGACAAACCCATAATTGCGCACAATGTCGCATTCGACAACGGTGCCGTATTTTTGAAATAGTTCGCGCACCTCCGGCGCACGCGTTTTGTCGGTAAGATTTCCAACGAAGATTTTCGTTGTTGGCGTATTGGGGGCGCGTCGACTTTTAGCGGCCTCCACCTTGATGGCGTTATCATTCAAAACGTAACCGTTCAAGTTCTGTATGGCATCGCGACCCTGTTGCTCGGTTTCCATGTGCACAAAGCCATAATTCTTCACCACATCGCATTCGACGACAGTACCGTATTTCTCGAATAGCGCACGCAATTCGGTTGCCTGCGTCTTCTCATCGAGATTACCGATGAACAACTTGAACGTGCCGGCTCCGGGCATCACGGCGACGGTTTCGGCTGCGGCGTCTTCCACGGTTCTTGCGTTAATTCAATATCTTGGGAAGCTTGAGGCGTTAGCGTACGCGAGTTTTGGATTCTGGTTTGTTTACGCGTTACTGACGTAAATGGAGCACAGCTTGAGAACGACAACGGCGGCGACCGCGACCTCAAAGTGAAAGAAGAAGCAATGCAAATTTTCATTTTGATTTTGATTTATATTGAGGCAGGGCAAGAGACAAGTAGCTCGATACAACTTTAACAACAAAGAAAGGTCACAACGCGTCCATTAAACTCTAAGATCATACACATGCACAACGCGTGAAAAATCATTATAATTTCCACACAATATACAAAACAAGATGGCGGCGATAGCGACGGCGGCAAGGCGAAAGAAACAGTAGTATGCAGTAGTGCAGGAAGGCGGCTTCTATAGTTGTATATGAGTTCAAATTTTAAAGACTTCTTACCTGTGCACTTCCTAATATAAAATAAAATAATTCCCAAATTTTTTCACAATTCAGTTCAGCAGCTCACACAAGACTCGCTTTCCAACATTTAGTCAAAATGACTTTTATGTGTATGTGGTCCCAGTGCTGCAAAATGATATATCGATTATATCAAACTTGTCCTTGTTGATAAGCATCGAGTTGAAATATCGATACACTCGGTGAAGCTTACAAAAATTATAACTATCGCACTTGCTTACTATCATTGTTATTTACGTTTTTATATTTATTACGACAATGGTACTCGGCTGCGATCATTTAACAACTTCAACGTATAACAAAATATTGTGTTATACTGCACAACAGTATCAAAGCTGCCGATAAATAAGGGATGCAATATTGTTGCAGTTTGCAACACTAGTATTCTGAATTAGCGCTCTTATTAAAAAAGCGGGAAATACATGTAGTTGTAACCAAACAATAATTATGGAAACTCCTACTGGGCGTGCTAAACGCCCTACGCGAACTGCTACTCCACGCCTTTCCGAGCGCAAGAAACAGTTATTTTGTAGCCGCAGCTCCATGTTGGATCAAATAGAAGACGACGGTGATGTGGAGGACCCCTTGTTGGGCATTGCACCTCTGAAGCCAAGACAACAAAGTTCGTCAAAAAAAGCAACTAAAAAGGCAACTCATGGTCGCAACCTGTTCGAGAGTGTTGCTGATAGAGATGATCGGAGTAGTACAGGCAGTTCTCCCGAGACCAATAAGGAAAACAAGAGGATGCAGAAGACACGTGGCTCAACTGTATCGTTGGGCACGGTGGAGCAATTACCGCAATTGTTTACTAAAACTATGCGCATAAATAGCAATAGCACCACCAGCCAAAGTCACAGTTCCAGTCCAAGCACACCCAAGGCACGAGATCATGCCGCAGTCTCTGATGAATCTAGCACAGATACCGACGAGTCTTCAACTGGCCAGAAACGAAAGATAACTAAAAGAGCACATGAAATGCCTGCAGTGACAATCGAGTCTTCACCGGAATCTAGCACTACGTCGCCGCAGTGCAAGCTGCGCAGGACGGAAAAAGAATGTATACCGACAGTGGCGTTCTATTCGCACTCCAACAGTGCTCAAAGCGTTTCGCGCAAATCAGGTTCGATGTCTTCGAAAAGTACACGCAAATCTGCGCAACACCAACGCAAGACTAAGACTATCTCACCCCCGTCTCGCCCTCGACTGGGTATCAATAAGGGCGTGCATCATAACATACGAAAACGTCAGCGAGCGAGTGCATCGGTTAATTTGGATGATATATTGGGCTCGTTGCGAAATGAGAAATTGCGGCAGCTGATTACCACGAAGAGGGAGGAACGCGCTAAGATAGAGGAGGTCCACGACATACTGCGCAAAGCCGAAGATCCGATTAAAATGGCTAAACCTTTAAGTGTAATCGCTCTCGACGACGCCAATAATAATAATAACAATAATAATAATAATAAGGAAAGTGAAGCACAATTTTTATCTGCCCTGGATTTTTCTGACCTTAGCGACGAGGAAACACAGCCTGTTGCTATGGAACTCGAACCAGTTATACCAATTATACGTCATACTAATCCAACAGACACATCGCCTAACTCCGAGCCTCCCAACAATCGTAAGTTCTTTAAATCCGGCAGACGCAGCAGTACGTGTATGGAGGTGCGGATCACTGATAACATTCGCGCTAGTGTCAGCCAGGGCAAGATATCGTTGATGGAGGCCCCCATAAAAACACATCGACAAGTGCGCGTTAAATCCGCTACGATATTTTCAGCAGAACAGGCAACCGTGGATGCAATACTGCGAAATCTCGACGAGACCGTAGTCGATGAAATTGTTGAACCAGAATCACAACAGAAAACAGTTTCTCAATCTCTGGCTGTTCCTGAAATAGAGGAGCCGCTGGTGGTGCCAGATCCATACGAAAAGTACCGTCAGCAATTGCCGTACAAAACAGATGATCCGGCTGTCATTGAACAGCAAACACTCTTGCTGGAGTTTTTAATCACCAATAACATATGTACAGATAAGAATTTTGAAATATTCATAGCTGATCCAGATAATCACAAAGAGGAGGCCACGCGCATTGTCGATAATTTATACACGGTAGTTTATGCAGATCAGTTGGATCTTATAGAGCCTGAAGAACAGAACTACATTAAAACTGAAATCGAGCATGTACCTGGAAAAGACGAGAGTCCAGCGGTGGATATAGTGGATAGCAACAAAGCAGAGACGATTTCATTGCCCGTTGAGCCACAAGCTAAATTGTTTCCCATTTTCACACAACGCCTCCAACCAATGCCACAAAAGTCAACGCGTCATAAAGCTAATTCTTCGATGAGGTTAATGGTTGGTGCGAGTGGTTCGAATCAGTATCAAATCGATGCTGGTCAAAAGGCTTTTGGAGCCAGGCAGTGTCAACAATGTGGACTAGTCTATACCGTCCATGAGCCGGAGGAGGAACAGTTGCATAGGGAATATCATGATTCTGTCCATGTGCTACGGTTTAAGGGCTGGATAGATGAAGATATAGTAGCCGTTTATCCGGAGTGGTCGCCTGATGGACGGATTATACGTTTGAATGAACGTGCACCTCATGCCCGCCTACAGCGGCTTACAGAACTGATCAAGGTAATAGACAAGGAACTGGGCTACTCTTCGTATATTGTCCCAAAGACATTTGTCGCCTTCTTTGCTGTGCGTAAACAGCAAATCGTGGGACTCTGCCTTGTTCACCCGCTGACGCAGGCGCATCGTTTCATTCAAGTCGATGGCACCGACTACTTTAGCGAAGAGACTTTTGAGGCTAGGTAAGTGGAAACTGTTAAGACTAATCCTAACCGCTTATTACTAGTAAAGTTCTCTATATTTGATCTAGTTGCGGTGTCTCCCGTATTTGGGTTTCCTCATTGCAACGTCGTAAAGGAATTGCTACAAAATTGCTGCGCGCAGTGCAATATCACACCATTTTGGGCGTTGAAATACATCGTGATCGAATTGCATTTAGCACCCCGACAGATGATGGACGCGCTTTGATTCGTCAATTTACGCAGACTGACAATTTCCTGACATACGACCAGTGAAGTGAGAAACCTAATTTGTTTGGCTATTGAATAGCTAGTAATTTGACGCTGTTGAATATCGTTTACTGTACATCTCTGTTTTAATTATTAAGAACGAAAATTTATACTTTGGAATGAAATTATGTTATATTTAAGCAATATTTTGCATAATAGTGTTTCACTTCTGTATATGGTTTGTTTTTATTCGAAGCATACTTCGAGATGCCTTCTAAAATGCATACTCCAAATATTAGTCGATAGTAATATATCGATATTTTCAATATTGATCACTAGCAGCATTGCAACACACGCATCGATATCTTAGTGTGTGAGTTTAGCTTGTGAGCCAGGCTTTGGGCGTTGTTTTCATTATAGATCAAGAAATATAAAAACTATTAATTACAAACGTATATTGAGTGTCCAGAAACTGAAATTAAACGTGCTAAGTTTTAACCGCAATTATCCTTAATTGAGCGCAAATGGTAAGTCGTCGCAATGAAATAAATGGTGTGGCTAGCAAAGCAACGCGGCAATGAGTGCCACGCCCAAAGTAACTGAATTGAAGTAAAATCAACAGCAGTATTTGGGGTTGAATGCAGATAGTTGTCAACGTTTCTTATTGAGTGTATGTATATTCCAGACAATACGGCGTTGCACTTGTGGTCAGCAACAAAAGCGTGTAGCTAATAGAGAAATAGGCCAGTGACTTCATCAGTCATCGGCTTCTTCAATTACACTTATAAGTCAATAAAGGCAGAGCGTGTGGGACTATGTCCACAATCGAAGAGGAGCGTAAAGCGTATATTAATAATCCATATTTCACTGGACCCATATACGGCAGCTTTAAGCCGTTTTATGTGACTATTGCCATTTGCACAGTTGTGCTCGGCTCGATAATTATATTGAATATTATCTTGGGCTGCTGCTCCAAACACCGTAAGTATTGGCAAGACCGGCATACGGGCAATCGCTGGCTAGTTTCCATTTGGTCTTCAACACCGCATAAGCAACCCCCACTTGACTTTACTGAGCTACAGGAAGCCAGCTATTTCGATCGATTCCACGTGAGTAAACAATTCAACTTTTAAAGCTTTCCCAACATGACATATTAATGCATTGCAGCCAACCACTCACCAGCAAGTGTTTCCCAGTGACGTTGTCGTTTCCGTTGACGATTTAGAGCCAGTACATCAGTCGCATCATCAGCAGCGGCCACCCCGCCCAGAGGGTCGTACATTGCATCAGCAACGCCAGCGCGAAGAATACGTTGAGTTGCAGAAGCGTGAAAGTGACATTTAAGCCATGGCTCTATATATTCTATATCCCGCCGTAGCTGCCTTAGCTCTCTTCGTTATTGGCGTCATCATTGTCATGCTACGCTATGGGCCGCGTCTATGCGGGCTGCGCCATCATGCTCTACCCGACAATCATGACATGCGGGAAAAGACCTACGAGCATGAGATTAGTTATGCCTGATCCGCCATTTTCATATGTTTTTACACGCAACCACTTCAACTAACCATATTCATAAGTTTCTATATTATCCATAACTAACTTTTCACAACAAAATTTAATTGTGTCTGCTGGAATTGCACAATTTTTATTTTACATACACGCAGTACAAAATGCCTTCTACATTTAGTTAGCATTCGTCAGCAAGCTTTTAAATCATTCCATTACGAAAACTTACAACTAATGTGCCTTCAATATCTCAATGAGAAATGTTTGCCGTCCAAGTGTCTTCTAGAATTTTAAGAGTGCTCAGTTTAAAATACATATACATATATACCCTTTTGGTACGTACAGAAAAGTTTATAGCCCTTTTATATTGAATTAAACCAGATATAATGCACTTATAAGGAACATAATTTAGAAACAAACTTTACATTTGTATTAAAAACATTTATACCACATTTGACTAATAAAAATTGAATTTTAATAGAAACGGAACTTTAAAGTCGATCGCGTAGTTTAAAAAATTTGGTGGAATATACTTTGGATAGCCATATATTTATGGAATGAACTTAAACGACTCCAGATAGCTGATATTCGAAATCGACTTTACCAAAAAAAAAAAAAAAGAGAAAATGAAACTGTTAACTCTACAATAAAATAGAGAAACGTTTTATATTAAATATGTATTAAATTTCAAATACATATGAAAGGATGACTAAAAAGTAGATAACAGACGCATTTTGTAATCGGCAATGCAAATGGAAGAAAGCACCTCGTATTTCTTTTCGATTGTTAGTAAATTGGATGTTCCTGGGCCAGCGCAAAAGTCATACGGAGTCATCGACGTAAATTTAATAGTTTTTAATAGATTACTAATATATTCTACTTTTTTCTGGTTCTCTTTTTCGTCGCTTTGTTCACTCGTCATTTGCTCTGTATTAGCATCTGAACTGTTTTCTGTGTCGTTTTCATTTTCATCTTTCTTGAATGATTCATTCCCTATTTCTCGATCTGATGCTTCGGCATTTTGAATATTTGCATTTGGTAATTCTAATAATGGCTTAATTCTTTTGGTGAGCGGTGAGTAATCTCCGCATTCATATTCGTGGTCACTGTCAGCGATTGAATTCAGTTGTGAGGATTTTGCCGAGCTTTCAACTAGACCATGTATTCTACAATAACGATCTATTACACTAAATCGTACCTTATCGCTAACAAGATCATTTAGCTCCTCGACAAATTTTAAAAAGACCTCCGAGCTTAGATCAAAAACTGCCGCCGCATTGATATAGGCATTCGGGTTAAAACGAAATTTCTAAAAGAATGACTTCGAATATTGAATTTTCTTACCATATGATTTAAGTCAGTAATACTCACCGATGTAATGCTGCTGATTAGCTCTTCATCTTCGAGCTGGTGGCTATACTCAAATAGATCGATAGTCACATCCGCATCTAAGCCGCTGCATAGCCGCCGTTTAATCACATTCAAGCAATTGGTGGTAAAAAAGGTTACCATGAACTTTTTGCTTAGATATATCAATGTTTGCAATGTCTGTAGATCATATGTGTCCAGGCGATGATTATCGTGCCAGTACAAATATTCCATAAACTTCCTAAAGTCATTTCCCGACACATCGTCTAGGACAATATTATCGGGTATCTTTGCCTCTTCGAAGTCGCCCTCAAACATGCGCTCGAAAACAGGAGAAACACTAAGAGTTATTTTAATATATGCTTTGAATAAATACAGTTTATATTTTACGCACCTCATGAGAATAAATTTGTGACATTTTAAGATAACTTTTTCACCATCGTTATCATAGACAACAAAACTGCAATCCGACAAGTGGCCGGTCCTCAACAAATATTCCATGCGTTCTCTCGGTCTGAAAAAAAAAATCAAATATAGTTAACAACTGATATCTGGAAGATATTCTTGAGAAATGTTTGTAATCTGCACAAAAACAATCTCTAATGGCCAATAAGGACATTTCATACCCATATACATTAATTTCGCATTGTATTTGATTTTCTTACGTGTAAAAATTGCTTGATTATTTCTTACCGGAGATCTTGCCAGTTTGATCCCGTATTCATTTTGCTAATAAAGTTTAAAGAAAATAGAATAAAAGAGCGGTTTGCGCACGGATAAAAATTGCGGCGTCGATGCAAAATATATACGGTGCTGTAAAACGTCTAAATAAGAACTGCGAATTTTTATAGAATAGGGTCACTCCGATGAATCAGCTGTTTACTGTTTTCTGTTGCCGTTGTTAAATTCAATATTAAGTAAAACACCCACATGCGCATATAAAAATGATTTTACTTATTTACATTTGGATCGGAGTCGGCCTACTGCCACTAATTCAAGCAGCCATAAGTGAGTGCCCCACATACAATGTACCATTGATGCGTGCCGAATTGGAGGCAGCTAGTGAAGTCTCTTTGATGTTTTACTACGTGTCTTGGTCGAGCGATGCCAGACAGGCCCGTTTGGTCTACGATGGCGTGGCGCATTATTACAAAGATTACGCTTCATTTGGCGCCGTAGATTGCTGGCATCTACAATGTAACTGCAGTCGCACACATCGACAGCTTCCCGGCATGGCAATTAACGGCGGCTATCCAGACAAATGGCCCACGTTAGTGGTGAACTATGGGCGGAAATTGAAGCTGCAGTACCAGGGTGCATGGCATTTCGAAGATTTGACAAGATTCATGAATAATCTAATACAGCCTATTGACCGTATACATACGACCTCTGAGTTGGGCGCTCTATGGAGGATCTCGGATGCCGTTGTGCTAGCTCTGCTGGAATCGGCAGATAGTCAGGCTTATAGGCGCTTCTTGGCGACTGCAATACATTGGCTGGAGTTTGATCCGGAGCGGAACGTACGGTTTGCGGTTACGTTTGGCCAACGAACTAAAGAAATTCTCAAATTGGAACAGATAATACTGCCACAACTAGTGCTCATAGATAATCGGCATGGATTGCACAGCTATAATAAATCGAATATATGGCGCCCAATGGAGATCTTGCATTGGATACGACCCAAGGTTAATCCTCTACAGGCAGCTGGCTATGGAACACCCGCAAAGATTGCGATTAAAGCGCGTCACATGCCCGTGCTGGCCATGAGCATACGAATGCATAAAGAGCATACTGCAATGCCCTTAGCCATGGGCGAAGAGGCACTTCGTGGAGAAAATGTTGACTGCGAAAAATACTCGCACGAAGATGTTCTCGACTACCAAGAGTTGCGTTACAGGTCACTGATGCAGATGCCGATGCATCTGTATGAAGGCGCAAAGACTTCGGAGCAATTAGCTAACAATTGTTATCGAGCATTTCAGGTTTCAGCAGCCACACTGACGAACTACTACTCCATTAACGAGTTTCTCAATTATCTATGGTCACATCACTCTCACGAAAACGACTTGGAGTCGCAAACACGCAAGCTCATGGGGCTGCACAGACGCAATCGCTGCTTAGCGCACACCCATTCACAGCAGGGTACGCCAGCCATAAAAATTGGCATAGCCAAGATGCTTGCCAAATATAGTCAGTTGCTGTGGCAGCATTCACCCGCAGAGTTATCGCAGAATCGTTCGCTGGCCGTCGTGCTCTTTGATGGCGCCAAATATCGAGATTTTCTGCAACAGCTTGGCGTCGATCAAGTCCATTTGAATGGGAATCACCGAAGAGACAATTCAGGAGTACAGGTTTTTATAGTGGATGCCGCCGCAGAATCAGTGCATGTTATGCCACAGCATCAGACGTTCACCTACCAGGCACTGACTGAATTTATTAAACAGTACTATGCCCGGCAGCTACCACGTGTACAAAGGAACTATATATTAAACTCTGCCCCATCTCGGGATGCATCATATATACAGAATTACAATCGCCACTTATTGCTCCAGGCATTGCAACGCGCTAATGCAACAAATGTAGTACTCATACACCGTCCGGATTGTGAACTATCCGCCATCATGTCGCAAGAAGTGATGCAAGTAGCAGCTATGTTACGAAGTCCCGATGTGAATTTTATACGCTTTAATAGCCAGGCAAACGATTTGCCTTGGGAGCTAACTATGTCAGTGACGCCGGCGCTGCTCGTGTTTCCCCAATCGCGTCCCACCGAGTCTGCAATATTTCCAATTGATATGCGAGTAGACACGGCTAACGTTATGTCTTTCATACTGGCTCAATTGGAGCCGGAGCAGCAGTTACGCTTAGTCTTAGCCAGTTGTCGAAGACGTTTGCGACATGCGCGGAGTTGCTTGGACTTTGCCGGGAAGCTTGTGCTTCAGCACGTCAGTCAATATTTGAGATACTGGGAAATATTTGTGAAGGAGCGTGATATTATCTTGTCACACCTAAAGCAATTTAATGAGATGCACATAGCCATCGAAAGTAGCATAAAGCTATAGTATATGAAATTAAAAATCAAGTAATTATTGGGTAAGTTTAATGCAGGATATTTGAATTCCATACGTTAATAGATAATAAGTCTAGTTTAAAGAATTAGTAGGACAACAGATAAGCGTTGACTGATTGATAAGTATTTGTTGATTACTAAACGTTACAGACTTAAAGAATAAATAAATGTAATATGAAATGTACATACATGTGATTTTTTTTTTTTTTTTTCAAAGTAAGCTACATTTTTATTTTCAAATCCGATATCTGTGTGGCCAGCCATCTGGTATGAAGAAATATATGGTAAAACCTGTTACTATCGATAAACATACATATTTCGATTAAACTTATACCAATACATTGCTCGACCTCTGCATCACTGTCGCTTAATATGTCACTATATTCAGATAAAGTTAATATAATAAACCAAAGTACATATCAAATTTTAAAAGAGGGTAATGGGGCCTGCAGACGAAAGTTACTTCACAGTTCCAAGTATAAGAACAAGCACAATGTCGAACAAAAGTTGTGTCTGTTCGATTTTCTTACGGTGCCCCGGCAGAAGCAGCAAACGAAACAACAAAGACGGCCCCATCTGATCATTGCTAGAAAGTCGGTGTCACTTCAAACCAAGCGAAAGGGAAAGACGCGTTTGCATCCTAAGCGTCGAATAGCACGTCTAAAACGCATCATTCGAAATTATCGCAGCTTTAAGCACAATATTGTTGATAACAACACAAAATGTGTGGAACAGGTGCAAACGGCTTCAGAATGTGTTGCTTTGGGCTTCGATATAACAAATGTTAATTCTACTCTACAAGAAAAGGTCCATAAATTAGCTTTCTGTGTCACGGCAAATGAAAATAAAGGAATTGAGCAGAATCCGTCAGCTCATCAGGGCGTCGAACCCATTGCCATACAAGTTATAGAAGACTTAAAATGTCTTTCTCTGGATGAGAAAACATCAAAAAAAGTTGCCCAATCTACCGCAACACATAAAATACATTCCCGGCGGTTTAGAAGGTGCGTAAAGTATAAATTAATGTTGCCCACCAACTAATCTCAAATTTCATATATGTATACAGCTACTGCGATAACTGCACGACACCCCGCCTGAAAGAGTTGACAATTCAATTGCTAAATGACCTGGATCGTTTTCAGAAACGCGCCTACGCTCACAATGAAATTAAAGCACGAGCACATCCCCGCTTCGTGGTGGGCTTTCGGGAATCATTGTCTAGGTTGCGCATTTACAAAGTGAAGTTGCTTATCCTGGCACCCGATTGTGAGATCTGTCCTATCCCTGGTAACTAAGATATTCATATGTAAAAACCTTTTATTTATAACATCTGCTTAGGCGGCCTAGACGATACGATAGATGAGCTGAAGTCTGTGTGTCAGCAGCAAAATGTGCCTTACTGCTTTTCGCTAATGCGTCGGGAGTTAGCTCATGCCTTGCACAAGCGAGCACAAATATCGTGCGTCGCCATTCTGAACTACGATGGAGCCAATGAAACGTTTAAGCAACTGCTTCAAGAGTTGGATGTAGCAAGCCACCAATATAAATGCTTAACTGCAACGTGATTTTTATTTAATCAAGTAGAGAAAGTGCCAAAAAGGTGCCTACACAAATATGTCAATAAACATAAATTGATGTTCGTGAAGTACACTAATTCAAAGGTGTCATCATGGTAGTAGTAACCAGATCGAATAGTGAAGAGCTTTCATTGCCAAATTCTGTGGCAGCTCCCACCAATCCTGCGGTGTCGTTGAAGCTATTAAATGAGTTGATTGCATCCTTGGCCTGCTGTGCCGCCAGGTTGAATTGTATGAGAATAATGAGGTAACTAGTGATGCCGCCGCTCACACCATACAGAGTTTCCATATCCAGCGTGAAGAAACCGCAAGCCGAAAAGTCCACGGAATGATTGAGCAACTTTAGCGACAAGTGATTCACAATTTCGTACAGCAAGTTATCGTCAGCCACGACTCCGCACTTATGCAAACTGATGCCAGTGCGCTTGGAAGCCAACGAGGTTTTCCAGCTCAAGTAAATCAGATAAATGCATTTTCCCGATGTATAGATCAGTACGACCACCGTGATAAAGGGACTCTTCGCAGAGCGAAACAACGAGGGTATCGACTGTGCTCGCGTGGCACAGTAAAGAAAATACAGCTGAGCCGTAAATATCAAGAATCCGTAGGCCATTAGCGAAAGAATTGGATAGCTCCACAAACCATTCATTGCCTTGCCTATCTCACAGATCTCGTCGTGAACTTGACACAGATTGTTCAGCTTTTCCTCGACTTTGGTTGCATTGCTTAGCTCGCTTTCGTGAGCCATGTTTATCATTGGAGTTGCATTCGACTGTTGAAGCTTGCGAGGCGATTGAATTGATTCCCCAAAGGAGTTCAGCGAGTGGGCAACTACGTTCATTAAATATAACAAACCACATGATTGTGAGCAGAAAGTCAAAAATTTGTATTACTTACTTGGGGCAACCTTGTTCTTGCCTTTGCTACCTGAACCCCTCAGTGAACCTACATCGATACCACCGAGCTCCTTGTATAAGTACTCCAGATTAGTATCGTATTGTGGCGGCTGCGATACAGATTCTACTGCTGCGTGCTCCTCAATGGAATTATTGCGATCATCTCCATTTAACCAGGTTAGGAACTTTTCGTGCTCTGTCACTAGATCTTCCAACGTTGCATTGATGGCCTCAAAACGTTCTTTAAGGGCATACAGCGACACGGCAAACCAAATTTTGTCCAGAGTATTGATGAAAGTTGGAATTGCCGAGACAATCCACAATATTGATAACCACTGCGTATAATCAACGAGCTTAACGTATGTGCTCAGCAGAATGAAGAGCTCGAAAACAAACGTCATTAGAAGCATTATACGAATTCTCTTTGCTATAGTGCTGTTGTCCACCAGGCACTGCTCGCGGTACAGACGTTCATCAACTACGCGTATGCGTTCGTAGAGGTCGCCCAGTCGTCCTTGGTTAAAGAGCGCTGTCACCTGATCCGTGACCATCATGATAAGCCCGATATAGGTCAAAAACAGGCCAATAACGAATGTCAAGGTGCCTGAATGCTTTCGTTATTTAATTGAATTAATGTACTTGTCTAATCCTACTCACTTTGAGTTGCTTTGAGCGAGCGATCCTCTTCTCCGAATGAATAAATTAGCAGATTATAAAGGACTATATAAAGCATCAACATGCCCAGCATATAGATCATGCCATTGCGCGACTTTTCCAATACATTCTTAAATCGAAACTTAGTCAAGTCCTGTGGCAATACGCCCACTAATTTGGATAAGAAAAACAGTTGCTGGAATTGCAACAACAACGGTTGCACTATTGGCGTCGGCTGAGACATGTTGCGCGCTGGTCAGAACAAACTCAAATGGTAAATAATAATCGACCGAGAAACATTCCTAGCTGACTACCACTTTACCTAATTAAATTGGTTTGTTGGTCGAGTGAATTGTTCAGCTAATCGATACAATCAACGAATGCAATCTCAATGGTCCTTTCGCTTAATAGCAAAGGGTTTATATGAGGGAAAATGTACTTTTATTCAATCATCTTCCACTGTATGTATATATAATACAATAAATAATTATCAACCCAAAATAGATGATACATATATTATAAATTTAACAACATGCAGTTATAAACCTGGGACCTTTTGTTAAGAATTATTCAACAGCATATGGCCATATGAATTACATTTATAGTCTTTTGAATGAATTGAGTTTTATTAGATGGTAATTAGGTCGGGATTTGCATGGTTTTCGTGTACCATATATTAAATTTTGGTGTAATATATAATAGAAAGCCAAAAGATTAGCACGGGCCCTCCTTTTATTTGAATTTTAAAATTTTATCATTTAAAATTTGTCAGTAGATCATCTTTCTTATTGCTTCTTCTTGCGACGATCATTCTGCTTTTGTTCCTCCTGAAAATTAAATGAAATATTACAATATGTTAATCACTGCTTCCAAGGTTATAAATATAGTTTCACAAATGGCGAACTTTATGTAAGAATATCGACTTTAAGCGAGTTATTCGTAAACCTGGAAATAAATATACTTCCATCAAAAAAATCAAATGCGAAAAGCCAGTAGCACCTAAAGACTTTTGTGAAAGTATACTTATTGCCTTGGACATACGAAATATAGGTAGAAGCTTAAATCGTTAATACCGTATCGATTGAATATAAAAAATATTGCTTTGCACTATTTAAAGGTATTGATTGATACAAAATTGTCAGATCAAAGGTATTCATTATTGGGTTTGTTGCTAAATTGTTCTAACGTCTATCAAACCATAAAGCTCTTGAGCTGTAAGATAGGTCACAACATTGAGCACAAGTCAAATATACTATTGCTACCTTAACGGATGACAATTGAAATTAGGATTTTTATCAACAAACCTTTTGCGTTAGGATAATCAACAAACGACGGAACATGCTCAACACATCGAAGAAAAGATCCAATGCATGTTGTACCACATCGCGGTTGCCCATGCGGCATTTTTCCACAATATTTTGGGTATCGTACACTATGAAGGCAGCCATTACGAAGACGCCAACGTATAATTGAGTCTAAAACGACGAAAATATATTAGCTCTATCAATCTGATTACACTTTGATATTACTTACAATTTGGACAAAGTATGATTTGAAGATCATGTTGAAGAGACTGAGCAGAGCCATGCAGTTTATAACACTCACTAACATGCCACCCAGATACAAATACTTGCCCTGTTCGGCAAGGAGAGCGGCTAGCGATAAGGAACCAAAAGTTACAAATGTCCCAGTTAGTGCAGTTAGGATAATCGCCGGATTAATGCTGCAAATGTAGTCCAACAATGGACCCAATGTTTGTCCCGAACAGAATCCAAAAGCATAAAGCATTCCCAAGCGTGTGTAATAGTTTTTGCCATCATCTTTATAAAAGTGCAGACCAAGAACCAGCACCAATGAAGCAATGGCCGCTAACATGCCCATATCGAAAGTTCCACGCATTTGGACCAGGGCGCCGACTGCCGAAGCAGCGGTGGTGCTAGCCAGTACCATATACACCTTAGACAGGTGCTGACGGATGAATGGCTCACTAAAAACAGAAAAGCCGGAATCATTAGTTTAACTGTGCGTGTCCATTTCTTTCAAGGACTATTGATTAGACGGGACCAACTGTTGATGTGGATTTATAACAAAACAACACGTCAGCCACAAAGTGACGCAAGGTCCCCGCTTTACCCCCTCGAAAAGTGTTTGCACTTAGACTCAAATACGTATCGTACGATGACTTTTGTACTAGCTTAAAGCATAAATATTTGCATACTCACTAGCGCTCGCCGATGCCATGCATAAATCGTTGGAAACGGTCGTTTAGATATTGGGCTGTATCCGCCATACTGAATCCTTATTTTCTGATTGAAAATTTGGTTGTTTCTTTATTTTATATTAATCGAACGGAGAAGTGTGAACGAAATGTGAACTATAACAGTAAAGCCGTGTGTATTGGATTGACTGATTTTACGCTGAATACTACGTCGATCTTTCCGTATTGGTATTTCACTTTTATTTATCTCTATTGCAATTAGTGTTGAGCAATAACGCACTTGGCGAAGCTTCCAGATGATAGGGTAGCCGTTTTGTATGGAAACGAACATATGGGCACACTTTGCTTTGACATAATAATCGGCGCGCGATAACTTTTTGAAATATTGAGCTTGAATAAATTTTCGACACCTCAATTGAAGGAATCTTTATTGTTGGACCATTGACGACAAATATGGACGGAAATGTGCTTTAAGATAAATATTTGTATGTAAGCTATGCTATGATTATCAATAATTATGAAACCATCGTAATAAATTATAAATTTACATTTTATTTCGGGTCATTAGCACTAGTCTTTGCTCTAAATAGAAAATTATGAATTATTGTGCGTATGGTTTTAAACAATAATGGAAAAATGAAAAATAATGACGATTTGCCGTAGGTATGGGTGACATAAATATGTTTTTGTAATCTTGATATTATCTGATTAAATTAAACAAGACACGCATTTATAAAGTATTTTTCATATACATATTTGTCTATATAACGTTACCTGTATTGTTCATGATTTACAGTTATATGTATATTCATTTTCAATCAAAATCACAGTTTTAAGTTTCTACAAGACATATTTCGTTTGCTTAGAAGCATTAAACGGCCGTATAGGTCGTAATACTTCGTATTAGATCAGTCCTAAGAAAGTTACAGGTACTAAATGTCGAAAACTATAATATACACAAATATCATATGGATTAGTGTAGCAAGATTTAGGTTAAATTTCATTTACAAATGTTTGTGTACATAGTACAAATCAAAATCAAATTTATAGTATATATAAAAAAAATAAAAAAGTCAGTGTTACATAGCAACTACATAAAAGCTTGATCGCATTTAGAAACGCTACAATAAATGCTGTTAGGACCTCAATATGTTTATAAATAGTGTAATTTATCATCACAGTCACACAACAGCTCATTCATTCCACTTATTTACATTATATTGATTAATATTGTCATTCTAGCTATAAATGTATATAAATATATATACTACTTATCCATTGGATAAGGTCAGTCAACAATTATAGTTATGGATCAGTCACACAGACGCGCACAATAAGCTCGCTTAAATTTATATAAATAAAGTCAACTTTAAACAAATGCTTGAGGCAAGATATACAAAAAAAAAAAGTTTGAATACAATTGAGCTTATTACGATTCTTGGCCATATTTTGTTTGGCAAACTCTTTGAAATTTGCAAAAAGATGCAAGTGTTAATATAACATTATTATTTATCATAAATGCGTTGTAATTGTACAATTTAAATGTATAAATATATATATGTATATCGATTCGTAAACTATATTTTTGTATATATAGGGTACAAGAAGACACACAACGCAAGACAGTTTGAGTATTTTTTCGAACATTTTTTAGTTTTCATATATATATATGTTTTATTAAATAAACCGAAATATTAAAGTACAATAATATTGAAATTCTGCGGCGAAGATGACGTCGATGATGTTGATTGAAGTTTATTTCGTCTGTAGCTGCTGTCCATCCGTCCCGTACCTTCATCCGCGCTGACGACCTCAATTGGGCTGTGTGCAGATGCAATGCAGTATTAATGCCGTTAATATGATGATTTGTGTGGGCTTGGCAGTCCGTCGTTCAATTGTGTATCGTTTTTTATTTGTTGTAGAGGCTTGTCAACATTTCGGCTTACTTTAGTACGTCTAGGAGAAACTATGTTATACCATATTCATATCCTACGTATTGGTAATGTTAAATACAAATCAAAATTTGATAATCTTGTGGCTGGCCTTCTTCAGCTTGCTGCATTATTATTATGTTGTGTTAATAAGAGTCTAGGGGTGTAAGATGTATTTGGGTGTGTATTGGTTGTTGTATTAATTCTGCTCTCGCTTGTGTAGCAGTCAATGCCTGGAACGATGCTCCTCACGCCTGTCCCGATCACGTTCGCGCTCACGCTCACGGTCTCGATCCCGATCACGACGTTCACGATCCGAAGAGCGATAACGTTCGCGTTCCTCGTAATAGCGTTTAGATGACGGCGCTTCAGCGGCTTCTGCAACCACAGGCTCCGGAGACTTACGTGGCCGTGCCGATCGGCTGCTGCTATAGCACAAAGTGAAAATGTTAAGGTCGAGGGTATTTAATTTATAAGATCACAACTACCTGTCATCTCTGTAGTGGTCCTGAGCCTGGCGCTCGCGTTCCCGACTGCGCGAGCGCTCTCGATAGCTGTTGGTGAATGCACAAAAGTTGTAGGTTAATGAGCAATATAAACTACCACAGTGAAACTTACCCTCCATCACGCTCACGCTCGCGATCACGATCACGCTCTCGTTCACGAGAGCGCTCACGATAGCGCGAAGTTGAACGCTCACGACGCTGACGACTGCGATGAGAACGATCGCGGGAACGCGAACGTTCGCGTCGATTGTAACTCTTGGCCTCAATGCCGTGCAGCGTGTCCTGCAGTGAGCTGATCAAAATCTTGCAGCGCTCATCGTGAGCTACCTTCGACTGCTTAATGAGGGAAATGGCCGTAACCAATGTTTCTATGGCGCTTGAATACTCGCCAGCAGCGGCATCAGAAACAGCTCTGTAGTAATATAATTTATTTGGTTATAAAAGTAAAATGCTTAATAAGTTTTGGGCTTACCTGGCAATCGCCGAGCTGCTGACAGTGCGGTTTCTGCTCATTACCTCTTCGAATTCAACTTCCGTTAATTGCGGCCCCATTTGTGGATCGGGGAAAGCGCCTGGCGGTTTTCCTTGCGGAGGTCCTGGCCACGGATTGCGCGGTCCACCCTGTTGTGCAAAATGAGGTGGTGGTCCATGCTGAGGAGGCATATTCATGCCTGGCTGTGGACCTGGTTGACCATGCGGAGGACCACCCATACCTGGATGCGGAGGTGGACCACCCGGTTGATTAAAGAATGCTGGATTGACATGCGGAGCGGGAGCACCATGTGGTCCACCCGAGCCAGGCGGTGGACCAGGACCCATTTGCGGACGTGGCGGACCCTGCATATGAGGTGGACCCTGTGGCGGACCTTGCGGCGGAAAGCCGCCATGCATAGGCGGACGACGCCAATCAGGACCCGGTCCAGGACCACGCACTGGCATTCCCATTGGTCCCTGGAACTGCAAAAATAAAGCATAAAGTAAATAATTAGCAACAGCAATTAAAATGACATCGAAGGCCCTAGAAATTAAATAAGGCCAGTTACAGTTGAGTGGAAGTAGCCTCGTCGTGCATGATGTACATGAGATCTGTGTCTGTGGATGGGTTGGGTGTATTGTGGCTGTTGCAGTTACAAACTTGTGCAGTTATTTAAATGTTCTGAATACAATTGATGAGACACTCTAATGTCGTTCACTAAGTTAACTTAACTCGGGTTAGTTTGGTTTCGTTTTTTCTACTATATTATAATTTGATATTTTTTAAATAATAATATAATATATAGGATAACTTTGGTATTGTTTTTGCATTTTTTTTTTTTGTTAGGAATTTGTTACCATTGGTGGTCGTTGGAGTGGTCCATTTGGTGGACCCGGTCGGGGTCCACCGGGACGTTGACCTGGCCATTGACCTTGCGCTGGTGGATACCTGGGAGGTGGCTGTTGATTGCCCATTGGGCCGCCTTGTGGATGCATTGGCGGCTAATAATTTACGTATTTTTTTATTATTGTAGATGTAGTTGTTGTTGTGGTGGGTAGAAGTGTGCGTAAGCGTTGTCATAAAACACATGGAATGGAATATAAATATAAAGCGTAATACATAAACATTTTTATATAGTTATATTTAAATAGATAGTACATAGATATCAAGTACATATATATCGCAAAACAAATGCAGCACATTTACAGTAACAAGTATTGCCTTAAGATAGCTACCATTAGATATACTCCAACAAATTTGATGTCTAGGCAATTTGCAATTAAGTTTTGCACTAAATTACATTAAAAGGAAAAAAATCAAATGGTAATATATAGGCTTATGCATAAAGAATTCATAGATATAATAATGTCTTAACTCAACAATACTATAAAATTGCTCTGAAATTTTTCTTTATTAAACCAAAACATGTTTCGTACTTAAAATCATAATAATGAACAATAATAACCTTACAGTCGTATTTTTGCATGTCTAGTTACTCTTAAGTTATCAAATATAAACCAAATAAAAAAAAAATGTTCTTCCAGGTGATAAAAAATATTAGCTTCCTTTGAAATTAATCAAACATTTATTATTAATACTTTAGGATTGTCATTTTTGTATACATATTCTTTTTAAATACAGTTCTATAAATATCAAATATAGAGGTCCAGCTAAGGACTAGTTACATTACTTGCTTTTACAAGAACATTAAGAAAATGTCATGATATAATGATATATTTTCAACTCCACTTATCTATGTTAAATTAAAAATTACCAATCTTTGATCAGCTAATTATACGACCAAATATTCGACTTTGAAGATATCAAATTTTGCATTCAGAACAATTTCAATGAGTAATAGTTAAACAGAAATGTAAATGGCGTTGTTAATACGGGCTGACGAGCCAAACAATCCCAATCAAACTCAAGAACTCTTTTGTTATGGTCACTTGCTAACGGGAAATTGAAAAAGCTACGACTTACGGGTAAAAGAAAGCAAAATGAAGAGAACAACTAAAAGACTGCAATAGCTCACCTGCATTCGAGGAGGTCCAGAATTGGGTCCAACCTGCGGCACTTGCGACATATGTGGTCGGTATTGACCTGGCGGCAAGTTGGGATTCATGCGTGGCGCATGTCCTGGAGGCACACCTTGGGGGACGCCCGGATGTGGAGGCATCGGACCGCCCATGTTGGGCGGTGCGGGACCACGTGGTGGTCCATTTTGCTGCGGCGGCGGTACTGGACGTGTCTTTTGCAAGCTCTCGAACTGCGTAAGCGCTTGCTTGCTTGGGTAGGTGACTACCACGGTTTGGCCGTGCATCTCCTTTTTTGGCAATTGATCGAGTACAGTGCGTAAACTAGGTTCCGAGCCCAGCGATATTACGCTAAATCCTTTCGATTGACCATTTGCACGATTCTCAAAGAATTTCACCTCCTGCAGATCGTTGACGCCTATTTCGCGTAAAGCATTCGAGATATCTTGATCTGTGGTCCACCAGGTCAGGTTACCCACATATAGTTGATAGCGGCGATTCATTGTTGGAGTTTGGTTACCACTGCCCTGATGGTAAACTCCATTGGGACCGACATTAGAGGAGCCGTCGATGGATCCAGGTCCGGATGCATTATCTCCAGTTGGGGTGCCACCACCGCCACCGCCGCCTGCAGCTACTGGCTCGGTGGGGCCGCCGATATCATCGTACAAATCGACGCCGTCGCCACCAAATTCATCCTTTTCGTAAAATTTTAGTATGTTGAATATTTCGATACATTTACGTACAAAAATAAATATATGTATATCGATATTTGTAAAAGTATCAACATTGTTATTTAATATACCCTCATTACACACACACGCATACGTTTGCATATAAATGCGCGCATGCATGTATACATGGCACATATACACATCTGACATACAAAGCGTGGTAATGCAACCTTACCTGAGCTTGCCCGGCAAAATCTTTGTCCAAATCTTCGGCATACAAGTCCAGCACTACCCCATCGGCCATGGTTGCGTGAGCGTTTAACTGGACAACAAAATTGATTTTAGGCGCACGCGACCAATTTATTTAGCGGTGCCGTGCACACTTTTTCCACTTTCACACACACACGCACACAATCACAAGCCGCTCGTACAGTCGAACAACTAGCCACCGGCGTGCGGCGTACGTATAAATGCAAGTAAAGCCCGTTGTTGACAAATTACTATTTATAAAGCTGTTACGAATATGCGATAATCACACATATAATATATTTACATTATAAACAACAGCTCCTTCAACTATTGTTGCGAAAATTTTTCTGCAGCTACAGCTAAAATGGCGGAGATGTTTAGAGTGACCGTACCTTCCATTTGATATAAATGTTAAATTAGCCATTTTTAGCGCTAGTTTTAGCATAATACCAAACTCGTGATTTTTAGTATTTTGTAATTAAAATAGTTGAACTGTTTGTTGTTTTTTAATGTAATTTTTGTTTTTAACTCTGATTTAATGTTCTACACAATTACTCGAAATTAGTAACTAAATAATTGTTTATGGATTGTAGGTGGCTTTCGGACGGAGATCGCAATACGTTATGCCAGGACCAATGCATGAAGCGAAACCCATTAGATGGGGAATTGTGTTTTGTTCATAAACGCCGCTGAACAAATGCGACCAGGGACCTAGAGAATCAATATAAAGAATATCATGAATAAATATTGTTTTGCTTATTATAATTGTTAACTATTACCATTAGCGTAAACTGCTACATCACCACCTCCATGAGTTTCTTCAGAGTAAGGAGCGCCATGTGGATACCTTTCGTCCTTATCACCTATGTTTAGATTGCGGAGATCAACCCGTTTAACTGTGTTATTTGAAGTTTGCACCTCGTAGAAGCGATTCATTTCAGGACCGTTGGCGTAAGATAATGTGGCGTAAGGTAAATAGTCGAGGTCACTTAATTCCGAGCTTAGGCCAGTTATATCGTTATTTATATCGGGGTATCCGTTAATTGTCATGGTATGTCCATGATCAGCGGTGACCACGATCAGAGTCTCCCATGGATTGGTCAACTGTCTTGCTTTTTTGACAGCGTTTGAGAATTGTACAGTTTCCTCCATGGCTTTCTTGGCTTTAGTCTCGTGATGAGCATGATCAATACGACCGCCTTCGACAAATAGAAAGAAGCCACTCGGATTAGTTGACAGAACGTTAATTGCAGCTTCAGTCATTTCCTCGAGCGTTGGAGTATCAATGCTATCGTCCAATTTGTATGCCAAATGAGAGGCATTGAATAATCCTAATAAGAAGTCCGTGTTGTAAGGATTGATGCTCAACAAATTAGTACGATTGAAAACAACTTCCGCATTGCCGTGTTTGCTCTGTTGCCATTCATTTATCAGATTGCGGCCATCTAAGCGCTCGCCTACATTGCCGTACACATCTTTTTCTGTATTTGGCAGAAATTTCCTAGTACCTCCGCCCATGACAACTTTCAAGCGTTGGCCCTCATCGGACAACAACTGTTGCGCGATATCTGGACACTTGCTAGGATCATGTCCTTGATCCTTAACATCGAAATCGCTCTCAAAGTCACGATTCGAGGTGTGGGCATAAACTCCAGCTGGACTGGCGTGAGTGACACGAGTTGTGGTTACTAGTCCCGCAGATTTATGTCCACGCATGGCCCATGTCGCAATGGAGGAGAGACGATTGTTGGGCGATTTGGCTGCTTCACAGTCATTAAGTTTTACATCAGCTGAAACGCCGATTGTCAGATAATTAGCTTTAACACCCGACAGATAGGCAGAGGCAGTAGCGGCCGAGTCTGAAACTTGTTTGTCTGCGCAGTAAGTCTAAAGGAAACAGCGATCAAGCTGTGTATTGATTAAAAATTATTCTATATTTTAGCTTACCTTTGATAATCCGACGTAGTTAAACTTTTCAAACTCCAAACGATTTCGTTCCCCTACAATGCCTTTCTTTTGACCATCATAGATGCGGGCTGCCGTTACAGTCGGCACAGACATGCCATCTCCAAGGAATAAGATTATGTTCTTGGCCAAATACTGATTCGGTACAGTCGAAGTCTTTTCATATACCGTACGTTGTGCATCATGAAACCAAAAATCTTTGCTTTTTAGCTCATCTTTAGAGCGTATATTCCAAGCACGATCTGCATAAGAGATATTAATCACGTGGTTAAGTGAAAGTTCTTGATCAATATTTATTTATTTAAAAAATGATACAAAATTCTGTATTCCTACACATGTGCACATTTGCTTGATTAATACTCGATTATGGTAATTAAAAACCTTTTGTTTGTTTTGTGCTCGCGTTCGGTTAACGATCTTTAACACTCGCTGTTTTTTTTATTTTATTTTAAATATTTCTGGCACACCGTTAAAAGTCACGCACCTGGCCCATACATGTAATGACAAGAGCACAACGCAACTTGAATGGAGATCATTAACCAGAAAGTATGCATCATCGAATTTTGATGAACTCTAACTGAAAAACTTTCGACTACTGACTGTCAACTGGTAGCTTCTGCTTCGGCTTCGTTGCTTCGTACTCCAGCGTTGGTCGAGAACCGATTAAGCAGTGTTGAAGGAATTACGTGCTTATTTATATCAGTTTTGGGCATAACAAAATGTATTGTAGTATAGATGAATAGCATATTAAATTTAAAAACTCGATCTGGTATATAAAGTAACCGGTTGCTCAGGAAACATAACTGCAGTACGGCTATCAAATATCTGGGGGCAACACACTGAGTGTTGAATATGAATTAGATTTATTCAAATGAAATTAATTGATCAACCCGCTTTATAAATCGTTAGATGCAACTGCATCAACTCTACAGCCTACACATTAACTATTTTTGGAGAATATATAAGTGGATCTCATATTTTCCGTTTTCTAAAAGATTTTCTGCATTTTTATAGAAAAACTGTCTACCCAGAGGTACTAATCTCTGGGTAGACAGTTTTTCTGAATACATTAAAAGTGATTCCCTGGTAAACAGGTTTCTTAATAATTAAAGAAATGCTCTTAAATTTTTGTAGTATTTCTTTTTGTGTTCTTCATGCTCTCGCTCATTAATTAAAAAGTAAAAACTTAACTAATTACTTTTAGAACTCTAGCGAGATTTAATTCCAGTTTTAGACAGCGTGGTTAGTTTATTTTGTTATATTGACAAGAGTTTGTTAATGAGTGAATATGCATTATTCATAAGATAATATTAAAAACTTTGTGAGGGTTAAATTAATTACGATTTAAATAATTGCTTAAAGAAGATATTGTAGAGCATATTTTAAAATTTTACTTTTGTTTTACGTTAGGAATTGATTTCTTAGGTAATTTAAACACTATGTGATTACACAATGTAAATACGAAAAAAGGATTCATAATCCATTCAGGTCCTTTTTGAATTTGAATTGAATGTTTTATATTTTACATTTTCTAACACTACTACAAGTTGAAATGTGAAATATCGATAGTACATTTTTATCTCTGCATATTTCGTAAACGGTCACACTCATTAATGTCATTACGATTGTTTAAAATAATCGATTAAATTATTTCTCCACCTCTATAAACTTACATATTTCTTGCAAAATTTGTTGGTTTTTTTTTTAGAAAAAATCGCTCTGTAAATTAATTTATTTAATAGACATGCAGTTGATTAGGTTTTGATTGCAAAGGTTGCTGGATTGGTTGACAAGGACAAGCAAGGTGAGAGATGTGATGACATATCAGCGAAAAGTAAAACAAAGACTACTCAAGTCCCCTTCGATAAGCAAAAACAGAAAACAATACACATACAACCACTCATAAGCTCGCATACAGGTGCATTTGTCTGAAACGCATATAATGATATAAGTAGAAATCTTGCAGTGAACAATTTATTTAATTGCAAATAATTTATTGCAAATTTCAGAAAAGCAAGAGTAACAACTGGTTTCCGTCGCAATATAAAGAACATTGGCAAGGTGTCTGCATACGAAAGCATGGACTTACAGCATATGGAGAATGGCCTCAGCGGAGGAGGCGGTGTGGCAGGAGGAGGAAGTGCTGGAGGAGGAGCAGGAGGTGTGGGCGGTGGCCTAAGTGAATTTGATTTTCAGCGATTAGCACAAATAATCGCGACAAGCATACAAAAAGTCCAACAAAATGGTGAGTCGTTTGGGGCGTATATCTTTCATCTATGACTAATCACTTTACTATGCATACTCGAACGACACAGTCTCCACTATGCAGCGAATGGTCAATCAGCTGAACACGCCACAGGACTCGCCCGAACTGAAGAAGAAGCTGTAAGTGTTTGTGAGAGTTTTGCCTTAGTTATCAAATAGCAAAGCTAAACGTATATTTGTAATACTTAAACAAAATATGTCTTCTGTACATAGTCATCAACTAATGACCTACACTAAGCAGCTGGTGACCGATACAAACAATCAGTTGATGGAGGTGGACAAGTGCAAAGAGCGGCACCTGAAAATACAACGCGACCGTCTAGTGGATGAGTTCACAGCGGCATTGACTGCTTTCCAGGTTTGCTAATCTGTTTAATGATAAGCAAAGTAACAACCCTAGTCATCATTATTTGTTTTTATTTTTGCAGGCTATTCAACGTAAAACAGCTGATATTGAAAGAAGTGCTTTACAACAGGCGCGCGCCCAGAACTTCAGTATTTCACATCCACCTGGCTCGACACGAACCAATACCAATGCCAGTAGCAGTGACAATGGTTCCTTCTTTGAGGACAACTTCTTCAATCGTAAATCAAATCAGCAGCAACAACAGCAAATACAAACGCAAATGCAGGAAGATGTTGACCTGCAAGCACTTGAGGAGCAAGAGCGTGCCATACGCGAGCTGGAGAACAACATAGTGGGCGTCAATGAAATCTACAAAAAGCTAGGTGTTATGGTCTACGAACAAGGCCTAACAGTCGATTCGATCGAGTCTCAGGTGGAGCAAACAAGCATTTTCGTTTCACAAGGCACTGAAAATTTGCGCAAGGCTAGCTCTTACCGGGTAAATGTTGTGCATATCTAATCTGAATTTGTTCATAATTTACATTTAATATTTATTGCAGAACAAAGTGCGTAAGAAGAAGTTGATATTGGTTGCCATCCTGACCGCTGTTCTGTTAGCCATTGTTTTAATAATGGTGTTTCAGTTTAAGAACTAAAAATGGGAATCCAATATACTAAAGAGCATCAAGAAATTTAAATAAAAACTAGTAAATTGTTGTGAAAAGACAAGTGTTGCCCCATGCAGGCCTCCCATCCGTATTTTAGACGCATTCGTGGCTTTAATACTATTATTTAACTTAAACAAAAGAAACCAAACACTAATTGGCTAAAGAATTCTTAAAAATGATGGCAAAAATTGTCAACTCAGTTGCATGAATCGAAACGTGTTTAGCACAGAGTTAAGCGGCGCTTACACATACATACATACATGCACGCATCCATATGTTATATAAATATTATTCTTATTCTCTAACAAGTTATCTTATATTTTATATGTATATGTATTATGATTATAAATAATGCACTTTGTATTGTATTATATTGATTGAGTGGCGCATTCTCAAATTTGTTTAGCAACAATTTCTAAAACATTTCCAAACTCATTTGCTAGCGCTTTGTATTTAAGTTTAAGTGACATACAAAGTATATAAATATACGGTGGTACATGATAATACACATTAAAATATAAAATTAACGAAACAAAAATACATGTATATATGATATGTACGATCAATGCAGGGCAAAATCCTTTAACAAAGCATTTCGAGCACTTCATTTCGGGGCATTGCATGAAATGAATGAATCGATGAATGGGCTGGAGTTCAGCACCATTTGGGCATTCAAAATGTGCCCGATCATGGCCCTGGCCGCGTCATCAACGCCTCGCGCATAGCCATAACGATCATTAAGATTTGTTGTGCACTGATGATACGCATGCTTCAGCGGCTTAGCCCCTGGCTGAAGTGCTGCCTGTGCTTACTGGGCTGCCCAACTGGGTGTTCATCACATCACATTAATGCAACGGCAGACGGTATCGATCTACGTATTTGTGTGTGTGTGTGTGTGTGTGTGTGTGTCTGCCTATCTATATGTGTGCGTGTGTGTGTGGATGCCACTTGAGCCACAGCCGTTGTTGAGGTGTGTCAAGTAAAGGGTTTCCTCGGGCTTGGGCTCGGGCTCGGGCTCGGGCTCGGACTGTGGCCTGCATACAAATTGAGTTTAAATTTTTTGCCAATTCACTGACATTGATAGTTCGTTTGGGCATCGTTTGTGTCGTGGTGGTGGCTTCTTATCCACTTGTTGGCATCGAGTGGTTTTCTCGCATGCATTTAAGTGCAGCTCATTTCCTTCTCTATCGCCCTGGGGCAGCCAAATATTGTGCGCTGTCATCCAGCTATTTTTAATACTAAGACATATCTGTGCCCTAACTGCAGAGAGTGGTACATTAACTATGCCGAACTGTTGGCAATTTCAAGTTGATTCTAGAGCTAGAAGACGTGGATTCGAAAGCAGCTCGTAGTGGGTTAATACTTACACTCTGCTATATACATATATGTGATAGGGTATTAGAGATTCGGCTTGTAGCAATCAATATTGTTATTTCTTCTTTCTTGTGAGCCTGCTTGGCTGTCAGTGGCTGTCTAAATACGTCCCCATGTTTTTTTTTTTTTTTTTTTTTTTTTGAAATAAATTATTGATTGCTCGGTTGAGGTTTACAGTTTACGACACGGCCTAATCACATCGATTATCGGTGCATGTACATGGCACTTGGCATCGCCTGGCCGTGGACGCATCCATTCATAAGTGAAAATCCAGTGCCGAGGCCACAGGTCACGTTGCGGCTGATTCGAATGCGTAGGTGTTGGACATTAACAGGACCATGCACACCTCGCTCAGCAGGTAGCCCGGATGGCCCGCGCCGTGTGCGAGCTCTGCTGTGTTTGCATAGGCCGGGCCCATGATAATATTGACACATTCGGTGGTCAGCACAGAATCTCATTTGCGAAGTCATTTTGTACAAATAAATCCAGCCTCTGCATTGCTTCTTCCACTCTTCCTCTTATTTTTCCCAACTTAATGCGCGGACACACAAACCGCATGTTTGGACTTTGCCACCGAGGAGCATTGGAAATGCACATGGAAATTCCGCAGTTCTTCTCTTCTTTTTTTTTTTTTTGCGCTAAGCGTGGATTGACTTACCAACTTAGCAACTTGCTGGACGGGATCGGGGTATTGGTAAGCGATCGGCTGCTGCTGCAGTCTAATCCCTGCACATTTCACACGTTGCTTACGGTTTGCCTTAGCCATAGCCGTGCAGTAGCCGAGACGTAAACATCCGGCTGTGGCATTTCCCAAATCAATAAACTTATTATTACGAGTACTTACATACCTTACACACATACATATGTATCAATGTATACGTATATACATACATATCTTACAATTCAGGTCCCCCTCTTCGGTTTTTATACGGAAAAATCTTAATTAAGCATTTCCTTGGCTACAATTTTATGAATGAACTGACGAACTGCTGCTCTCTCAGCCCTAATTTTATTTAGCACCACCCTTCCGTCCGTCTCCACTATTACCGCAATTTAAGTGGAATTACTTGTGGCCTGTAAATCTTTTGAATTTTTATTAAAAACAAAAGCGCCAAATGGAAATTCGTTTGATTGTGCCACCTGTGTGTGAGTGTGTGTGTGTGTGTGTGTGAGTGGACTTTTACGGCGAAGATTGGGGGCTGGGACGGCTGCTATCGCTGCACACTTTACGCCCAACACTTTCGACATTTTTATTAATGAAATTCGCAGAAAAGCTGGCCCACTGACGAACCGAATGAAGTGCTCTCACCTTGCCACGTCTCATTCTCATGAGCTACAACTGAGCACGATCTCTCAGGCCTCAGGCCCCTATCGTGGATACATTTACATTATACTATACTGGAACTGGTGGGGCGTACACTTCTAAACAAATTGGGTGTCAAAAAGTGCGCACATTTCAAAAGATTTAACCGTTTTGCAGTTTGCTTTGATCTATGCCGACGACGCAGACGCCGTCGAGGCGTTTATGTGGCTGCCACAGTGGAGCCTGTCTAGCTACTTGACTCTGTACAGTGGGTGAATACCATCAAGTGGATTGATTGAGATGAATATCTATCGGTCAATGAATTTGGATATAAAAATGATCTATATTAAATATTAAATAATATTAAAATAAATGAATATAATTTTCTCTTCAAGCCGAATCGATCTTTCGCAGTATCCAATATTGTGTTAGTCAAGCACCATGAACCACTGTGCCACACTTTAGTATCGTTTGTGCTATTCTCAATATAAACACGTAGTATATCTTTTATCTGATTTGGTTTTTATACCACGCGCCGCCTGCAAAAAAAGCGTCAACGCTGCAAAAATGCGAAACGGAGGCGCTGTTTTTTATAAATTAACACCAACGCCAGAGGCAACAGCCGCAGCCCCAGTTCGAACAGAACTCAGATCTCCCCTAGGGCAATGTGATCCCGTGGAAGATCAATTCGAGCGCAGCGGCGGCGATTCGCAAACGCAAACGCAAACGCAGTGAAAAATCGCAATTGTAGCCGAAGCAGAGGAAAGTGTATATTGAGTTGTCTGTTGGCCGCAGGACGGGATTAGGGGTGAAACAATTGATGTTGGCTGGGATCGGATGGGATTGGCTATATGGGCAGGCATAGGGGGATGCCACCGTGCTTGAGTTTCGGGTGTCTATTGTGCTCTCTATTATTTTGGTAGGTGTCTCTAGCTCTATCTGTGGCCCATTTGCAGCCGCTTTGTTGTGTAATTGTTTGTTTACCAGTTTGCAACAAAGCCCAGACAAAAGGCCATGGCTAAAAGAGATTTTATAGTTCAGCGGTTCACACACGTACCAACTGAACGAGAAGAGCGGACGAGAAATGAATCAAAATCGAAATCCAAAGCTGCAATAACAAAATCATCTTCCAGCCATGAATCTTCTTCGACGTAGTCGGAGGCATGTCAAATTATATCTTGTGGCTCGTTCCGCGCGTCTCGTTTATCGTTTTTTGATTGTTTTTTTCATTTGCTCGTGTTTGGGTAGCATTTTCCTCTTATATCCATTGGCGCTCCTCACGACTAATTGTGGCTGACATTAATGTCACTCTGTATTAAATATAGCCTGCCCACAGAGAGTCTGTCTGTCTGTCTGCTTGTCTGTCTGTCTGACAGTTCCACACTCTCAGCTCCAATTCATATTTGGGAGTCATATACGTGCGCCCTGCGAGATCATGCCGTCAGAGGGGGCTCCGACCAAGCAACGTGTTGACAGCGAGTGACAGACACATTCATTAGGCAGAATGATTCATATGCCATTCCGGATGCAATGGGCTATGGACTAATTTGAAAGGCATTAGGTTAAATGATTTAACGCTCTGGTCTTTGAATGTTGATCAAGCAGTTGAGGTAAAGCTAGAGATACAGCCACCATATCTTGATTTATGTCTTAGGTGAGCTCTTTATTGACTCAGCTTAACATGAGCTGATAGCAATGCCGTTTTGAGTTCTCAATTTATACTGCTAGATCGATAGATCAATATATAAATTTGCTATATTTTATATTTTACACAAGATATGCCAAGAACTCTGAACACTCCTCAGTTGTGTTCAGTTTTGATTTGGCTGAACTACATTAAATTTGATTTATTCTGTCAGAGATCCAGAGAAAGCAACTTTAATAAAATTTCATTAAATTAAGCCAGTAACCCGGACAGTTCACTCCTTGCGTAAGAGGCAAACCAATTATGGATTACAACCTCAAGTCCATATGCGCGAATAATATTATGATTGTAAATATTGTCGTATCATACAAGAGGGGGTTGCGTATGCCCATGACCATGCCCCTACTCCTTACAATGTGTTCACAACATTTCATATGCACGCTGGGGGCGCAGATCGGACACAGATGGGGCGCGGCCAAGTAGCCTCCGGTTGCTTGGCCAGAGCGCGCGACAATGCGAAAAATTTTCAATCGATTGGCAAGCAAAAAGCCAGAGTAGGCGGGGCCGCCTCCCACTGCCACTGGACTGGCTTGAAGTGAAATCAAAGAGAGCTGCCGGAAAATCAAAGGTTCGCCTCGCATCGGTGCGGCTAGGAGTATATGTATGTATTATATATATATATATGTATATATGTGTGTGTGTGCACATATAGGGATATATTGCGGTACATATTGGTAGCTCATATTTTTTTTGTGCCTGATTGTTTTTTATCCATAAGAAGCCCCGGGTCACAATTTATAATAGACTTCATGTATATTTGTATATCAGTGGCACAGGTGCAAAAGTTCACATGGCACTTGGACTAGGAGCTCGGTGCAGGCAGCCAGTGAGTGACTTGGAGACGGACACGGACACAGAGACAGAGACGGAGACGGAGACCTTTTTCCAGTTCTGTTGAAATTCAATAGAATTTCGGGGCAAGCGGCATTCCCGTGCTTCCTCAGACGCTGCGTAACACGAGCAACATCTGCATACAGTAAATTATACAATGAGTGCGTAACCATAAAACCTGTCCCAGTCACAAAGACCAATCCGAATTCAAGTGTCATGCTATTTTTGGTCTCAAAAATTTGTCGCCTGTTCGCCTCAAGTGGAGTGGACCCAACGAGCATGCCAGACTGCCGGGCGACAATTTCTAGACATCATTCAGCTCTGTGGCACTATTTGTTCATGTTACATGAGCTTGAGCTGCATCCAGCACGATCTCGGGCCGAGCTGGGCTCACAACATTGTTTGCCCAGCTCGACTCGGTTCCATCTTGGGACAGCTCCTCGCTCTTAATTGTTGGTCATGCACTGACGTTGCATTTATTTATGGTTTTCTTAATGAGTCTCATATTTATTACACTCTGACATTGGACTGACGATGGGCACGGGCTCGAGATCGAGCTCGGGACAGGGATAGGCACACATTCAGATCCACACTTTGAAGCTGGGTCAGCGGCGCAGGGGAAATACGTGTCATGTTTCATTAACGGGGTCCGTTGCTACCCATTCAAATATTTTGGGCAGTTAAGTATATCATCTCTCTGTGTGTGTGTCTCTCTCTTTCTCTATGTGTGTGTGGGTGTAATTTGAATATGCACTTGAAATTGCATGGAAATTAGTATTTGTCGCGCCTTTCCTCCAACACTTATTCCGGTCTGCTCTGCTGCAATGCGGAAATACTTAAGGCGATGACCGAAACCCCGAAATTTTAAGTTGAATGATTATTTGTTTTGGGTTACATTCGTGACGGTTTTTGCCGAGGGGAAATGGGCGTGACAGCGGTGGACTCTTCGGCCCTCAAACTGAAAGTTGACTCAATGACTCTCAGATAAATCTAAAAACTATTGAAATTAAAGTAAACGTATGTTATGTGAAATGAATTTATATTAAATATAGAATATTATCTGTTAGTAATGGAACTACCAAGGTCAGCTCAACTCAATGCAGTCTTAATTAGCATTTAATAAGCCCAGAAACCCTAAATTTAAAGCAACAAGATATAAAAACTGTGCAAGTGTCGCTCTCGGTATAAAGCTGAGAAATTTCCGGAATTAACTACGCATCTCTATGCCCACAATCAAATCCCAGTCAAGCCTATATTGCACGCGCCCACAATCAATTAACTCTATCGTCAAATTCTAAGCATCCACCCACCCACTCACCCACCTAACAGCTGCTGTTGCTGCTGCTGCTGCCGCTGCTGCTGCTGCTGCTTAAGAGGAACATTTGTATTCGTATCTTCGGGCCACACACCTTTAAGCCCCGGCTGGAGCCACAGTAGCCGCTGGGCCAAAATTGATAACATTGTAACATTGTCCGCAACAACAAAACGTTGAATTTTCTGCATATAAATGAATTAATTTTCAGTTGATGCTCACACACACACACACAGACACACACACACACATACATATACGTGTATCGAGAGCAGCCCATCCTGAAGGCTGGAGGCTGTGTATAGGGCTAATTTCCATAAACCCTGAAAGGAAGAAGTCGCAACGCCATTGTTATGCTAAGTGGGAATTCTCTCTCTCTCTCTCTATGTGTGTATGTGTGTGTGTGGAGCAGGGGCATATTGCCAAAAAAGGGGTTGCAAAGACCACCAGGTTGAAGTGGCTCTGGACTTGGCTAGAGAGTTCAATGAGATAGAGAGAGGCAGAGAGAGAGAGAGAGGAGTGAGGCAGAGAGAGGGGGAGAGCGAATAGATTGTTCTGTTAGCCAGCGGCCAGGCTAAGCTCACCACCAAGACAAATTGTTGCACAATTGTTCGTAAAAAATAAAAGAGCAACCCATGTAAGCACCTTAAATAACTGAACAGCATTAGAGCTAACTGTAACTGTTTATATTTTTCTCACATCGAGCCTAATCGTGCGCATGAGGGTCCAAGCCATCGTCCATGGCTCTATCCATTGGGAATTCGGCTGAGCTGCAGGCTGTAGGCTGTGTGAGCTGCTTAATGCCCATTGTGCAGTTGCTCGAAATTGCCTGTGAAATTGCATTGAAATGCGAATTGCATTAGGGCAACAGTAGCAGCAACAACAACAACAACGAGTAGAAGAAGAAGAGAACGCCCCTGCGGTCCTGTCAATCACAAGACGTAAGGTGTTCGCTGTCAGATTTTCTTGGGTAGCGGGCGCTATAAATTTTATACGCTTCTCGAAACTTTATTTTATGGCTGCGGCAACAATGGCTGGGGCCTAGGAACGCCGTTAATTTACGAGATATACTCCCCATGGTTTCGCCTCTACATCTCTCTACTCGTTATTGTATACAAAAAAAAAAATGATTAGATCCAAATCCAAATTCAAATCCAAAACCAAGCAATCTTGCGTGCGCCATTCGTGTGAATTTGAAATAAAACACACTGCAGAAAGAGTGAGAGGTAGAGAGCAGAGGAGAGAGAGCGAGAGCTGAAAGGGGCAGCCAACTGCAAAGTGCTCCTGCATATATATATATATTTACAGAATCATGTAAAATCTGCAGCTCCAAGGCGCACAGATGCCGGCGACATGCCACAAATGGACTGCGCTGTGACAGCGCCCCTGATCGCTGTAAGGAGTCAACCCACCAGGCAGCAGCACCACGCACCACGCACCACCAGAGACCATGTGTCAAGTCTCGTTGCATGTTTGTGGAACGTTTAAAAAATATTTTCTTGTAATTTGGTAAACTAATTGTTGCCGTTTGTTTTGACAATAAGGCATTTGTAGCTTTTCAGCGATGCTAACTGACGATTTGATTGACTTGAGCTGACAGCCACACCACGCCACGCCCCGCCCCGCCCCGGCCTCTTGCCTGCCTTGTGATACGCTTTAGTTCTTTGGTCTCCCCTTCTGAATGGATGCTCGGGCACTTTTACACTGTTTGTCGTTGTTGTTGTTGTTGTTGTTGTTGCTTGGGGTTTTCCGGTAGTCATTGGCATGCTGCATTGCATTAGATCTTGCATTATGTTCGACATCGACGTCGACATCGACATGTAATTGATATATTGGCACCTCCTTCCCCCCGGCTCCTGCTCAGCCCTGCTTCGTGTCTAAACACATGTCGAGCTGTTTGTTTACTTTGTATTGCTTTAAAACTAATGCCGATCGCTGCAGTTTTCCATTTGGAGTGCAATTAGCAGCACATCAAGTGCTTAATATTGGTTGGCTTAGCTGCTGGAACCGAGATGATTTGAAATGCGGAGAACCACTTGAGCTAATATAATATATAGATATTGCAATATATCTGTATTCTCTGTGGATTTGTAGAAACGTTTAACTCTCGCAACATCTTCTCATTTGCTATCCACAATTTACGCATTCTCCGCCCGCTGCAATCACTCAGAAATTCTATAGAAAATGCATAAAAAGTCAAGCATGGTTTGTATACACAAATTTGTTTGCTGGTAATTAACAAATTTAGGGGAACAAAATCATTAATGCCAACAATATAAAATCCGAGTTTATTTCCAACAATAATACAAACATTTGGCCATCCAGCCACGCCCCATTGTCGTCTCCATTCGGACATACATATATCAAAAGCCTAATAAGTGCTGAGTGCATTTGCCAGGGCTCAACTGCTCTCTCTCTCTCTTTCTCTCTCTCTCTCTCTCTCTCTCACTCACTCTATGGGGCTATATCTGTATTTGACCGGGTGCTGATTGCATGTGTGTTTTTTTTTCTGGGAAAAAACTGTCGACGCAACGTCTACGGTGTGCAGCAGCTCCATAAAACTCAGGCGAGCGCATAACTGCAATAAGATCATTAAAAAGGTGCAGAACGACGCTGCAGTTTATGGCCACATCGTTGAAATATAATGCGATATATATGTGCTGTATTCTCTATATATAGTATATATTTAGTGCTAAATGGCGATTAGACCAATTGACGCAGCGTGGCGAAGCGATTCAACTGTGACTAATTGATTAATTGTGGATGAAAAGCTGTGGGTGTGAGGGGAAATTCGAATAGAAGACATTGCCAAAGAGTTGTCCTCTTATATCTTATATATATCTCTGATATAAAACTCTTTTTAGTAGTTTCTTTTGCTATAAGTGCTCAATGCTTTGCCGTAATTTTATCCATGCCTCCGAACTATTTATCAAGACTTGATTTCATGAGAATCGCATAGGAGACTCATCGAATTTTTATTTGATTCATCTGATCATATATTTTTACATTTTATTCCCTTTTACATTTTCCTAACATACAATTTCGTATACCTACAAGCCCATATTCCCCTTTACATGCGCACATTTTACTTTTCTGATCGTCTCCATTTATAATTAAGAAACAGAAATTAACATATTTTCTCAACGACACTCTCCCGGCCTTTGAAAGTGCCCTTGATACTTGGCTCTACCTGTCGACGTCAGCGTGTAGCCCCGGCTCAATTACAAGCAGAGCGCTTCCTGTTTATTTAACTGATTTCTGTGCTCCACTTCCAATTACAAGAGGTCACAACATTTCCTCAATGGAGGTAAAAGTTAGTTCCACTTCGGCTCCACAAGTTTGTCAACGATCTTGGTAGCTGAACTTAATCATGTCTCTCATCATTATGATGTAGCTGCGTGTAATCTGGAGTTTCCTCCGACCTGTACAAAATGGCCGCTCGTTGAACCACCCTGAGAGCGAACTCAGTTGACGCTGTAACTGTAAGTTGTTCGCATAGATAAATATTGAGTTTTTCAATTAGCACCCCCGAAAAGTTTACGCTCTCCCATCTTTGTATCTATCTCCCTCTCTTTCTCTCTCTCTCTTTTTCTCTCTTGCTGGGCTAACTTACCCTCGATTGCTTTTTGTTCAGTCTTTGTAGCTCTGCGTAATGCTTCGGTTTTTTTCTTCTTTTTCTGTCGTGCCTGGCCACCGTCTCGTCTGTTTGTCTAAAGGATCAGGAGCGTGTTTGCGTATGGGCGCGTTAATTGCCCATAGTGGCAAACGTTTAAAGCCGCCACAAATCCCGCCCCAGCCTCATGTCAAGAGCAGTCACCCTCCCGCTGCCGCTGTCTCTTTCGGGCTTTTCACCTAGGCCTCAAAGTTGGTTTTGTGTGCTAAAAAGATAAACGACGGCGCCTGGAAACATGGATCTGGGGCTCTGGCTCTCAGTCTCTCTCTCTCGACTCTCGACTCTGGGCTGTTGCGTTGTTTTTCATGTTGTAAAGTTAATTATAAATTAAATATTGATTCTGTGACGTGCGTTCGGGCTACAGTTGCTGGCGCTCATCAAATCTTCCCCGTCAGTTGGCCAACTTCTGTAAACACACACACACACAGACACACTCACTCACACACATGTACATGTGCAACTGCGTGTGCATCTGTGCGTTTGTATCCTTATTGCATTGGGTGGACATTCCCCGCAGTATGAAATTGATTGGTCACGTATGATTTATTAATATTTGCTTTTCATTACGCATACGCAGCAGCAGAAGCAGCAGCAGGAGCGGCAGCAGGAGCAGCCGCAGCAGCTGTTTTAATTGGTTTAAAATTTCCATCGTCGCGGTTTCCAATTGTCGCCTGCAATGCAATTACCTGCAGTGGTTGGAGGTTTAATGGCCACCAGCTGTGATCTATTGGATTTCTGCTGCATCGTATCGAATGGCACTTGCCATGACTTTTTATGCCTCTCGAGTCTATAAAGAATAGCCATATACAGTATGAAGTGAAGGCGAGTTACGCTTTGAATATGAAATTACATTTAATTGACTAATGAATAAATATTAAATAGAAACAAATAAAATGGCAACTAAAATTAAAGTTCACTTAACAATCTAAAGGACGATTCTTACATCAATGTAAATGAAAGCTTAACTTACTCACTCAATGTTTGATAAAACATAAATAAAATAATCATAATATTTAAAATCTCTAAGAACAGAATAGCATAGTGATTATATATGTATGTTGTAGGATATTTTGTTATATGAATCAACTATATATGAGATAAGAATTAGGTTTATATATATTTAGTATAGAGCTGCAGACTTTTGACGAATTTTATTCTTGCTTAAATAATTTAAGTAATATAAAAAATGCATATTTAAATGAAATACTACAAGAATAGAATTGATAATTGATTTTTATACTATATTCTCTTCTAGATAGTAAGTCTATCTTTATAAAAATGTATAGATATATACTTACTATCTAGAAGAGAATACGCAGAAAATATAGAGATAGACTTACTATCTAGAAGAGAATACTGTATAAAAATCAGTCTTTATATAGTCATAAACAAATTCAATCATAAACTCTCAATTCGAATGGGCTTAAGGTCTATATATTAAACGTATTATTGTACATTAAATTTTAATTTATGAAGGGCATAAAAAAAAAGATTTATGCCGTTCAATTTATATATCAGTAAGCCTCATAATATTTCTAATAAATATTTAAAATACTTTTCAATTAATACTTAATATATTTTACCCATTTATTACATAATTAATAACCTCTCTCAAGCGCTCAACATCCAAAACGAATGGCAAACTCACCTCGGAGTCAAAGTAGCGACGGCAAAACAGAAGGACGCACTGCTTCACCAGGCACCAATACATTGATGTAGTCTATATATACATGCCTGTGTATGTGTCGACAGGTAAGTCACAGACACAGCCACAGTCACAGCCAGCTAGCTAACATAGATGGATGGACAGCTGACGACATGCGGACAGACGGTGGACAGTGGGCTAGGCGAACGGTAGGTCGGCAGAAGCGAGTAATTTATGTGCGGGCTCTGCTGGCGGCCATAAACGAGCAAGAGCGAACTGGGCAATGGCAGCGCCAGCAACGGCGATCGACTGGTCAAAACAAAGACAACAACAACAACAACAAGCACGACAACAACAACAGCAGAAGTAACCACTGGCTATGGCTGTGAATGTGGCCGCTGCTGCGACCCAGACTGCGCGGCCCGAACGAGTTGATGCCGGTGCTGCCAAATGCCAATTGTTGTAGTCGCTCTCGCAGTCACTGCTGCTGCTGCTGCTGCTGCCGCTGACGCTGGCTGCGCAGTCGAGGTGGTTATTTTCATAAATGCTCTAAGCAGCAGCAACCGCAGCAGTAGCAGCGCCGTTGCTGTGCGTGTGTATTGGTGAGATACATCTGTGCGCTGTCGTCGTTGCAGCTGACTGCGGCGTCAGCGTCAGCGTCGGCTGCGAGTGGGCGGAGCCAAGCAAAACAATTTTTGGCGAACTTTGGCGCTCATTTAAATGCTAAAACTTGTTTTGTTGTTGTTGTTGCTGTTGCTGCTGCTGCCGTTGCCTTCGTCGTCGCTATTGTTATTGTTGTTGTTGTTGCTGTTGTTGTTGTTATTGTTACTGTAGCGGCACGCCCCAGTTAGATACATAAATATTTATGCACGATAGATACTTTTGCTAAGGTTTAACCAAGGTGTGAACTGCGCCTGACTGAGAGAGCGCGTGCAACAGAGACAGAGCGCTGGCGAGCGCGCGCCGCTGAGTGCGAGCGAGATAGCTGTGCCGCTGCTGTAATGCCGCAAAAGGTGCAAAAGCTTTATTTTGGCCGAAGATTATGAAAAAGTTTGCCAAACGACCCACAAAATGCAAAATCGAAAATGGCTGCTTGGCTGATATTTCTTTTTCTTCTTTTTTTTTTTGGCATTTAGTTTAGTTTTTTTTTTTTTTCTTTTTTTTTTTTTTTTTTTTTTTTGCTTCTGCTGATTAATTTTTATTTCATGCCCGCCTCTTATTTATTTTGCTTGCGATTTTTTTGATTTATTACATGCCGCCGATAAACCTGGGCAGGTCGTCCGTCTCCTGCTGCCGCCGCTGCTGCTGCTGCCGCTGCTGTCTCGTAGCCTAGCTGCTGTCTCCGGAGTCCGGACTTATGTTTATTATCGTTTTGCATAATTTCGCTAATTTTGCTGTTTATTTGCGCGCCACGCACAATCGATCTCAATCGACCTACCGTCCGTCCGCCCACTTGCCCCGCCCACTTGCCAGCCCAATCATTTATTGGCTTTGTGTTTGTGTCAATAATCGTTTATATTTACGTAGCTTCGTTTTTTTTTGACGATTGTGCTAATTTATTTTATTGTATTTGAATCTGTGTTTGTGTGTGAGTTGTTGTTGTTGTTGTAATTGCTTTGATTTGCTGCTGCTGCTGCTGCTTTGCTAAAATTTATTTGAAATTTTAATTGTAAAAATATTATGTTTTGGATTATGCGATTTATTTGTTATTAAACGGAAGTCATGAAAATGAAATTGAAAATGCAAAACGAAAATGCAAAATGGAAAATGGAAAATTCTAATTGTAATTGTATTGTAATACAGTCACGCTGTTTTTTCTGCATTGTTGTTATTTATTTGAAATGTATCCGGCGCATCAATTCGTATAGCTCCATATGCTCCATATGTATATCTATGTAATGCGCATAGAATATGTTTTTTTTTTTGTGTTGTTTTATTTTTTAAATGAAGCTTGAAACATTTCAATTTTGATTGCCATTTATTGTTTGTTATTTCAATTGTTATTACCGTTGTTGTTGCTATTGTGTGTTATTGTTGTTGCTGTTGTTGTTGTTGTTGTTATTTTGTGGAAGATTTGTTCTAACATTTTATGGCGCATAGATTTGCAATATTTCAATTAAATTGTCAGTGCATAATTTGATTTCTATATCAGTGCACACACACACACACACACACACATGTATGTGGATGTTAATTAATATGAAAGAAAAAACCAAATGTGTGAATCGATTGATTTGTGAGCTAGATAAAAAATTTGATTTATATAAGATTTTTATTTCTAGTAAATTATTAGACAATTTATAGTGAGGATTTTGGTAATAGGCAGAGCTTAATTAATATAATTTAATGAAATGAATATGGAAATTCAATTAACAATTAACTTGAAGATTTGCTAGATAAAAAAATTTAATCTATTATATAAATCATCGCCATATCTAATCAATAGTTAAAGCTCATTAAAAAACACTCCAGTCCAAAGATCTTCAAGAGAACACTGTGTGATCCCTCGTTAATAATTCGCATGAAGAGAGTTCTTCTGTACTAAGTTAAGCCACATAAACAATATGGAATTCATTTCAAAACTGAATTCCCCGACTTCTGCTGCAGCGCTTTGTGTAAACAACATAAATCGATTATTGATTATGTTAGGGTATCTCATGTGAGGCATTTGAGCCTTTCGAGTTGCAAAGTGCTGAAATTGAATTTCCATGGGAGTAAAACCAATTAAATGGAAGCACTCTGCTGGCAACTGGCAGCCGCCGGCAGAAGGAGACGTCAGATAGTCGCCATTATGAATGCCCATTGAAATGATGTGACAAACAGTGAAACGTGGAAGCAGGGAAACGGGGAAGAGCGGAAGAGCGGAAGAGAGGGCAGCAGCGACTCGGGACAGAGGGAGAAACGGCTAGAGAGCAGCCGAGTAGCAGCAGGAGTCGCAGTGATGGCAACAAAAACTCAAATTCGGGCATAAGTGACAATTCAATAAGCCATGACGTGGCCCAATGTTTACTTAGCATATTGCGACGGCGAATGAGCGACGCTTGGCTGCCAAGGGCTGCCGCGGCATGGGAGGAGGCCCGGGCTGCGGAAGTGCGCGAACCAGGGGTAGCAGCGACTGGCTGCGGTTAAACGCTGCTATATGTTTGGCCAGACAATTTAACAGACTCTCTCGTCCACGTCGCGCGCCACTTTCGAAACGCTTTAACGCCGAGGCGACGGGACGGAGGCTGCGCTGCCATCACACACAGTCAAAGCCATCGTCGTCGTCAACGTCGTTTTCGTTGGTGTTGAAATGTTTATTTAGGACCAAAATTGTCAGTGTGTGAGTGTGTGTGTGTGTGTGAGTGTGTGTAGGCAGCCATAGCCACAGACACAGACACAGACACAGCCAATGCATCAGCCGCAGCATCAGCAGGAAATTGCTCATTGTACTTAGCCAGGGTTAAGTTATGGCGGCTCAACTACCTTGTTAAACTATGTCGCAGACAAAAAATAATAATAATAAAAGGAGAGGAAAAAAAGTTGATGTTTACCAATTAATATGCTCCATTTTGGGTTAGGGTATTTATCAACAGCAGCGCGACGTCTGTGCACGCACACGCACACGCACACACACGCACACTCACACGCGCCTTGCAATCATTTCAGGGGCGTTTGTTAAATTGACTGCGAAATCTCGAATCACTCGCTTCTACATGTGCTGGTGTGTGTGTGCGTGTGTGTGTGTGTGTGTGTGTGTGTCACACCCACACCCGCACTCAACTTGTGGCTCCAAGGCCTTGGCTGCATCTTTACTTTTTAGCTGCTTTTTTTGTCCGTCTTTCGCTCTGCGTTTTGTTTGCTTAACCGCGCGCCATTGACGACAAATTTTCCAGCTGCTACGCTCGGATAATTTTCACAGTTTCAAATACAATATAAATCTCTATTGTTATCATTGTGCTTGTCGGTGTTTGCCAGCTTGTGTTTGGGCATAATTAATTAGTGCAATCCTCTGACAGATACGTGTTTTTTAGTTAATTGACTGTTTATATATATTGTTAAAGGCAATTGGAAAAGGCAACAGCCTTCACCTAGCCACGCCTCTACTCACAGTCACATGCACACACACACACACACACACATACATACATATGTATATGCTAGTCAAATATAGTAGCTATTCGCAGTTTCTTAAAGCGTCAAAGTCTTGCTCACATCTTGCTCCTCCTTCTCCTGCCCCTGCTGCTCCTCCTCGACGTCGTCGTCGTCGTCATCGTCTTCTTCGTTGACTGCAGTTGTTTTCACAATGTAAATATTTAAATATTTTCAAGACAAACATTTGATTGTTGTCTCTGAAAATATGTTGATAAAATATTTGCTCAGTAAACTGGTTAAAAATTACAGCAATTCTTGAGTCGAGTCGAGTCGCCTCTTCGCTCATTTGCAGTTTGGTCTGTTCTGTTAGCCTTGTCGCTCGCTATCTTGGCTTGACTTTGCCATTTGTTTTATACATTTTTCTCAACACTTTTCACTTTTCACGCTAGGCGTGGAAAAACAGCGCACAGCCTCCTCGGGTCAGGCCAGTTTTTGAGTTATATCCATTTGCATCTGGTGGTTGGCTCTTGCATAAATATGCAGTAGACGCGTGTGTTGCTGTTTGTTGTTGTTACAATTATTGCCACCGCCACCGCCACCACCGCCGCCAGCACCACCGCCCATGTTCCGAGTCATTGTGGTTCTTGTTATTATTGCTGCGGCTCGTGCAGACAGCGCGGCACCAAGTGTTTCACATCCCATGAGGCTATGAGCGAAATAAATACAAATGCCAGTGTGGCGAGTGGGGCAGAGAATAGAATTCTAGCGCATTCCGCGCATCGCCACAAACCGAGAGCTAGTTCACTTCCTATATCCATTTCGATTTCGATTATGCTTGCCATTTTCTCTTCCCATTCTCTTCAGTTTTGGCAATGTCGGTCAAAGTGGCACAGCAGGTGCACAGCCTTAAATCCCAACTTGAGCCACTCGTGAATGAAACATGAATCAGGTTCTCATATCCGAGCAACACATTCACGCCGCACATTCCAATTGCCTTTTGGCTGACATTAATTATAGCGCAAACGATCGATTAGAAGCATTTTAAAATTCATTAATGAATTGTTTCTCAAACAGCAGAAGCAACAACAACAACAACAACAACAACAAAATACATATGTATGTACATAAATAAGAAACAACATGCGCGCCCCAATGTCTATATGAAGCATCAGGTTGGCATGTGTACAGTGCGTAGCAGAAGTCAGTGTACAGCGGCAGTAGGATAATACAGTTGGGAAGTGTATGAAGAGAA